GTGGAATTCTAGACTCCAGGGCAGGCGAGAGGGAAGCATATTTGTGCCTTCAGGTTGCTCTGAGTGTCCTTCAAATCTTAGCAAATAAGTACTTCATCGATGTACATGATTATACCTCATTTTTGATGACCTTATAACACAGTAAGGTTTGAAGCTGTCCAACGTGGTGAAAGATGAAAGGGGTAATTTCTCAGAAGAAATTGCTGCTTTTCTCTTGACCCAAATTGAAGCAGAGTTGAGCCACATTAGAATTAATATCATCAGGGTAATGTTATGTTAAAACACTGTGCAAATAGGTTTTTTTTCCAGTTATGAAACTTGAAAAAAACCATAAAGGAGTTTTTTTTTTTTAATACCAACCATTTGTTATTTCTTCTTGTCCTCTGGATTAGCTGGTCTAGCATGGCTAATCTCTGTGGTCAGCAGAGGGCTGGCCGAGGCGGGATGGTGCAAGGTGGCCTCATTCTCGCATCTTGGGCAGACAGGCTGTTTGTCTGGTCTAAGAAGCCTCAGCTGGAGGGCTTGCCTCTGCTCCACACAATCTCTCATCCTCGGGGAGGCCCCCTGTCAGGTTCTTTCCCAGGCCTCAGGGCTTGAGAAGAATAAAGAGAAGACAGACAAGCCAAGGGTGCATCCATGTTACACCCTCAGACCTTGCTAGGATTTGCATTTGTAACTTCTGAGCTCCTGCAGAGTTCCTTCTAGGTCTCTGACTCCGTCATGTTTGATAATGTCCCATTGGCCTGGACCTCAGCCCTATTCTACCTCCGCTCCACACATCTGCCCTCCCTCCCCAGGCTTGACAACGACACAAATGGCCTTCCCATCCCATCTCAGGTGCTGTGCAATTTTGTGAGACCATCACTGCTGAAGAACAGCACGTCTCTTTTTTCTCTTGGTATGAGGCACTTGGCAAGGGGGCCTTTTCTCTAGATTTCAGGTGAACACATTTGGTCTGGATGCCCCCTCAGCTTATCTTAGGTTCTAACCATCTCAGAGACAGTCTTGTCTGAGACTCAAAGAGAGGCAGCACTGGATCCCTTCTGAGATATTCAGGACCCACCTGGTTCCAGCCCTTCTGATCCTTCTCTTTTGACCTTCTCACCTCAAGAAGGTCTTTTCCTTTATCAGCTGGAAAACTTTCTTAAATCCTATTCTCTGTTCTCCTCTGCTCTGTGCATTCAGTGCTAGAATGACTCCATGCGCCGGCTCAATATCTTTAGATTCAAGTCCTGAAGAAGGTCTCATTCACCTTGGGTCAGCATGAGGTTTGAAGGTCAAGCTCAGAGGTTCAATTTTAGGACCACTCAGGGGGTGAGACAGGAAGTCTCCATGAAAGCTCTCCCTTCAGTAGAGGTTATCCCATAATAGGAAAGAATTAAGTGGTCATTTCCAAAATAAGCTAATCATTGCTTCTATCTTGGCATACATTCAAATGGAGTTTAACCACATTAAAAATTAATGTCATCTGGGCACAACTGTGTGCAAATAGATTGTGTCCACTTATGAAATTCGAGAATGAAAAGATAATGCCAGGTGGTTTTTTAATGCCTATAAAATGACACTAATAACTTTGAATTGACATCTTATGCAGCCTTAGTTCAGACTGCACATAATACCCGGAGTCCCTTAGAAAGAAAACAGAGGTATTAACTCATGCACGACATGCTACTTCATTCTGTTTTCCAGCTTGCTCAGAACACTCTCTCAGGACAGCTGACTAGTTGATTGTTTTTTGTTTTTTTAATTATACTTGCGAATTGCTCCTAAGGAGGCAATGGCTTTAGCATGTTATTTGTAATGTCTATACAACCAAAGTTATTTGAATACGAGTTTTTATAGAAGTTTGGAAATAACTGACCAGGAATTCAGTGTTCAGTTCTTAAACTGGGGATTAATAGAGCAGTAATGTTATCACTGCAACCAAGCCTGGTGTGTTCACCACGTTTTGTAAAGCACCATTAGCACGGATGCTCTAAGAAAAGTCAGTAAATGTTTTGGAGGTTGAACCTACCATTCATCTCCTGTTACCACTGAGCCTCATATTTACAAAACACTTTTTGCCTTTTGTTACATACCACTTCTAAGCTATTTTTCATCATAGCACTGTGAATTATTTTTCTGGTAGTAAGGACCCGAGGCAAAAACGTCATTTCCGGGAAGTAAAGAGAAAATAAGGAGCCGGAGGAGAAAAGAAGAGCAATTTGAGGGATTCTCAGAAAAAAGAAAAGAACCCACAGCAGTCAGCAGAAACATAGCATCTTAAAAGCAGAAAGGACAGGCCTGCTGTGTGCTGGCCTCACTCCACTCAGGACCACGGGGAGGAAGCACACGGACAAATGAGGTTCATTCAGATGGAGGGAGGATTGAAAATGATTCCATGTTTTCAAATATAACATAAAAACCTCTGAGTGATCTTACCACATTTAACAGAGAGAAGACTCAGGTGTGATGGTTAATTGCATGTATCAAACTGACCTGCCCCAGGAGGTACCCAGGTCATTGGTAAAACATTGTTTCTAGATGTGTCTGTGAACGTGTCTCCAGAGAGATTAGCGCTGGGATCAGTAGACTGGGGACAGTACCATCCCCACCAATGCTGGTGGGCAACACGTCATCCCTGGAAGCCCTGAATGGAAGAAAATGGAACAGAAAGCGTCAGTTATCTCTCTCAGACCTCGGTCTTCCCTTGCCCTGGGACATCGACCCTCAGACGCCAAGCAGAGTTGAATTTTAATTTCCTTTGTCTCCTCCAGCCTTATATGTACAAACAGATGTATAGTCAGACCTGAGATTTACTGTCAAACACACCTGGTAGACCTGGTCTGCACTGCGGCTCTCTGGGAAGCTCTGTTTTGCCATCTTTAAAATGGGGCCCCTTTGAGGGTCTCAGACACACACGTGTTCTGTGAGCACCCAGGGCGGAGCTTAATACAGCACTTCCTCAGTCACTTTATGACTAATCCAGTCTCTTGGAGACCCTTTCAGAGGATGATTCAGGAATCCAAAGACAAGGAATTAAGGAGGACGCACCTTTTTTATGGCAGACACTGAAGAGAACGAGAGTAGTTGCAAGAATAGAAGACTATACTTCAATTTAAAAAAAAAGGAAAAGAAAAAGTTAAAAAAAATCTGACTTAAAAAAAGAATAGAAGAATCATTATTAAAACCCCGAGGATCTGAAATTTTTTTCATGGCTTAAAAATGCATTTTACAAACACCTTTGAAACACAAGGGGGAAGAGCGTTTAATTTTCGGCCCTTGAACGCGGCAAAGGCAGCCTGCCTGGAGGCTGGGCTGGCTGTCCTGGCCTCTGAAGTTGGGTCAATGGCGTCTTAACCCAGCAGAGCGTTTCTCCCCTCGGGTCTCTTCCATTCTCTTCTCCCCGAGCCCCACAGACCACATGCAGAACCCCAGAGTTGGCCCCGAGGTTTTCCCCTTTTACCCAGCGAAAAACGTCGTTTCTGAGAAGCGCCTTTTCTGTTTCCCAGTTTGGGGTTAACGACTGATCCCAAGTGAGCGCGGCGTGTGTCTGGAGAGCATCCTGAGTCCGGCCGGAGAACGCGCCCGCCTCCCACTCGTTATCTGGTTGTCGGGTGACCTCTGCTGGTCACTAGGAGACATTGCCGCCTCCGCTCATTCCGTCCGCGTTTAATTCCAGTCATCAGACTGTAACGGCCAGTCTCCACGATTCAATTCACCTTTGCTTAGTCGTGATCGCTTCTATGAATACCTGTTGTGCATTAAATGTCATTTTCATTGCATTAAACTCGGAGTTTTGGAAACCTCTCCCCAGAAAATCCACAGCAAAGGAAAACATCTTTATGCTACAGTCTGGGCTGGTGAGTCTTAATGATTCAGTGATCTCACGCTGACAGAGGAGATGACAATTTTTCTATTTCCTTGAAAAATAACTAGTCGGCAACTAACAAGGGGATGGCCACGTTTTGAAGCCCAGCTGGCAGCACGAAACAACATTTGCTTAACTCCTCAGCCCAGTGCCTCCATTGATTGAACATCCATAGCTACCCAGCCATAGCACAAGGTAATCTATGGCTCACACAGCCAGAAAGATGGTAAGTAAGGAGAAAAACACCCCAGCGTTTTAGAAATCAACAGCCTAGCCTCCCTGGACGTGTGTGTGTGTGTGTGTGTGTGTGTTTAAAGCTATAGGCGTTTGTCTATTGAATAATTTTACGTTTAGTGCACCTACTATGTATAAGGCTGGATACAGGGTAGGAAAGAGAATGACTAGGTAATAAATAGGAAACAGAATACAGTCATAGCTCAACTGCAGCAATATTAAATCTATATATTTTGAGCCTCTTCCCTGTTCATATGTGTTAAATAATTTATTTCAGTGGACCTCTGTGTCTTCCATGGAGGTTCTCATCTGTCATACAGAGTAAAATAGTAACATATACTTAATTCTCTTAGTGTTATAATGACTGGCAACCCCCACCCGCCAATAATTCCCTGTAAACAAAGCTATACCTTTCAAAAGACTGTACTGTATTCACTTATGGAAAATAATCAAGGCTCACTCACATTAGCCAGTGCTGAGATGGGCAAACTTCAGCTCAGCCAATGATGTGGTTCCTTCAGTCTCTTCAGAGAGAAGATATGAAGGGTCATTTTCAGTGGTCTCAGAGATCAGCTTGATGGAACCCAGGTCCTTGCACTCTATCAATAGAAATTGATAAAAGCCCAGAGGAGAAATTCAGGCAAGGCTTTACTGGGACTGCAGCATGAGGGAATGAAAACAAGTAACAGGTGCTCTTGCTCACTCCCCAGGTGGAGGGTGAGCTGGTCCCTTAAATGGGGAGAGGAAGGGGCAGGTCCAGGTTTGGAGCTGGAGGAGTGGCTTGGGGGTTCTGCCCACCCCCTTGGTGGTGCTGTGTGCAGGGGTCACACGCAGTTTCCTGCTCTCGTTCCTAGCACGTCACAGATGGCAGCTGGGTATGTGATCTTTTTGTATCTTGTAGTTCATATTTTGCCCCAGCTGCCAGTGGGTGCAGTTATTTTTAGTCCTTTATAGTTTCTTTGTATCCTGTTGCTCAAGAAACATTTGTCCAGGTGCAAGCACTGTAGCAAAGGGTCCCAGGTCCCAGTTCCCAGCCTGTCTCAAACTCAAGAAGAAAATTCAGGTTTTCTTCTTGAAGAAACGAAGAATTGGGTACTTATTGGCAATATGAATGTGTATGCAAGTGTGTGTGTACAAATGTTCCATACATTCAACAAATACTGATAAATAAAAGTCCAAACCCTAACATGAATGGGAGAATCACACTGCTAACAACTAAGTTTATGGAATTTAAATGCCTGTTATCTTGTGATTTTGCTCTGTTACATTTTAGGCACATACACCTTCCTTTCTTTAGACTTTGCAAACCAAGCTATTATTTATTCTATTTAATTCATACTTTCTCTCGAAAAGTCAATCCTCCGTAGACCCTGAAATACTTTTGTTATGTGCGGGGTTTTTTTCCCTCTGAATTCTCATCTCTGTTTGCTTTCATCTTCCTGGCAGTGGAAATGCCTCAAACTGAATACAACATCCCAGGCTTTTTCAAAGGTCTTCATGACTTTCTAATAGTAAACACCTTGCCTAGGTTTTGAAAATCAGCCTGTTTAGAAAACAGCAAATTCACAGCCTTACCCGTTTGAAGTCTTGTCACAGCTCTCCTTTTATTTTTATTTATTGGGATGCCTTTTTCTCTCTTGGGGGTCTTTCTGCTTTATGTGGTTCTTAGAACATCTTGACCCTTGCAAGTAGATATTAATTTAGTTAAATATTTCTGCTTCTCTGTGTATTTTCTCTTGAAGTTTTCATTTTTTGGTTGCTATTCTTTCCTTTAACTATTCCTTTGTTCCATTTTCCAATACTTCAGTGACCTTTAGACCTCTGAGGAAAGATCTGCACTGACTCCTTGTTTATTTATGGCCCCTTTCAGCAATGTTCTTTTTTTTTTCTTTTTTCCAAAGAGCTCAAATGCACAAGCAAGAGCTAAGATCATACTCAAAACACACTTCTGAGTTCTACAAAAGAATAACAGGAGAATAAAAATGGAGCACTGTTTTAAGAATGTTAAAATACTCAGACTTGATTTAAGTTGTACATGATATGGTAGGTCATTCTGCATTTCAGGGAACTGGTGTGGTCTCTGGATGTATCTCTTTTTCCACCCAACTTGAGATTTGTTCAGTTTCACAAGAAGTGAATTCTCCAGATATTTCAGAACTTATCTTAATAAAAAAACAACCTGCTCAGCTGCTTCATGTTACAATGTTATAGTTTCTTTCTTGAGAGAATCACCTGAGAGCATCACCTGTATCCCACCTGCACACTCAGCTCAGCCTGGACAGTGGCTAAGCTTCCCTGCTG